TTGATATACGTGGTTGAAAATACTAGAATCTACTTTGGTATTTTGTTCCTGATAGAGAAATAAAAAACACTAGCAATGTATGGTGTAGATACGCCAACATTTGGAGGATATTAAGAATGCAAGTAGGACCATCCTTAGTTCACTCAATATCAGTTTCTCAGTGTATCCACAGAAAAGGTTACTTTAGGACTTACTTTTCAAGGTAAACACCTTTCCAAGTGATATCTTACTGTCAGCATTCAGAATAGAGCTAGCAAAATGGATGGGACTTGATACCCAGTGGTTAAAAATGTGCTTTTAGAAACTGTGGTCTCTCTCTCTCTCTCTCTCTTTCTTTTTGTGAGTATGGGAGGATAGTCCCAGTTAAATTTGTTCAGTGCATTTTTTCTTTATTTTCACTATCTTATCAAGTTTCTTCCATTTAGAATTTCTCTAACCTTTAAAAAAGTAAGGAATTGCCTAACACATTTTTTTCATGTTTAGTGAGGGCTATAATTGAAATATTTTATTTTAAATTATAATGACTATTTTTTGAGAAGTCCTGCCAGACCTAGTTGTAGTTGCAGGGCAGTGAGGTGTTTATACTAGCCTCTACAGAATAAGTACAGACTACTAACACAAAGATTTGAGACTGAAGCAAGTTTTGAGCCCTTGTGACATTATAAAGTCTTAACCTTTCGTATTGTAAGGTGAAACTAATTATGTGTTGGAGTCTGAACGAGATATTATAACCATTCAGCTGTGAAGTAGGTTAGCATAGTTCACTGAAAGTACGTTGGAAGCTATCTGAGCAGAACGTCAAGGAATTTAGATATTGCATACCCATGCGTGATTTTTTTATGTTTATCATAGATTCTGTTGTGTACTCATGCATACTTTGTCATATATAAATACTTACTACAAAATGTCAACACAGTGGTTAGGAATAGAAAGCATTTTATGTTAACTGTTTGCTGAAGGTCTGTTGAGGCAAGACAATCCTGTTGCCAGTTACTTATGACTTTTTTCAGAGTTTGTCTTTTGCTTAATATCGATCGTCAAAGTTACACAAGGAATAAATGAGGAAATATAACAAAAATTTGTAGGATGAGTAATGAAATGTTCCTGTGAGGACCCACAACTGTGAGGGAGAATAGGTAGGAGAGTTGAATAATGGAACACTTTTTTCTGCAAAATTTAGCAGAGAACTTGTATTGGGTTTACGTGGCAAAGTTTTGGTAGCAGGGGAGCTGCAGGGGTGTCTTCTGTGAGAAGAGGCCCCATGTCAGACAGAGCCAGTTCCAGCCAGCTCCGAGGCGGACCTGTCGCTAGCCAAAGCTGAGCCCATCAGCGATGCTGGTGGTGCTTCTGTGATTAACATATTGTCCTGGTTTCGGCAGGGATAGAGTTAATTTTCTTCCTAGTAGCTGGTACAGTGCTGTGTTTTGGATTTAGGATGAGAATAATGTTGATGACACACCAATGTTTTAGTTGTTGCTGAGCAGTGCTTACACTAGTCAAGGACTTTTTAGTTTTCCATGCTCTACCGACCGAGAAGGCTGGAGGTGCACAAGAAGCTGGGAGGGGGCACAGCCAAACTGGCCAAAG